AATGAATTAAACATATAATATGCAAGCTCAACAAATGATTGTCTGAGTACTTAAATAGAATCTTGTAGTGCGGTGGAATCTCAATGAAAGATATATAAGTCAAATAATTGATGAAAATATTTAAATTTTATTTTTCTTATTTTTTTGCTCAACTAAAATAAGATGTTAAAGATTAAAAATTTATGGAACATGACATATATAAGAGACATTACTAAATATATCTAGTAGAAAAAAATTATTGATTAATCACAAAACCATGAAACACGTCATAAATTATAAAAACAATAGATTGATTGTCAAACAATAGTAAAATATTTTATATAGAAGCAAAAATAACAAAAACAATTAGAACAACATAACCAAATAGCAATAGTCAATAGAAGCAGAAATTGATAAAAATATCCAACAAAAATATATAGCAATAACAAGCACATGATCTTAACGTTGAATTGTTAAACCATGAAAACAGCCAAACATATAGAGATAACAATAACCAATATGATTGGACCTTGTTGAAGATAAAAAAAAATTAGAGGGGCAATAAATAATAGCATATAATGAATGGCCAATTAATTTTTTTATTTTCTTCTCCAATATAATTAGTTGAAATATTTTTAGGCCTTTATTATGTACTAATTTTTTTTGCTTCTTATTATATGTTACAATTTTTTGGGTTTCTTTATTTCATTAAATTCTTTTAGACTATTATTGTATTTTTAAGAAAAAAATTTGGGCCCCTACTATTTTTGGGCCCTGGGCATGCGCCCGTGCCGCTCTCCCCCAAGGACGGCCCTGTCTATAGTTTATTCCCAGACTTAGAATACAACTCTGAACTCCTCTTTAGAGTTGAAGTTCCGAGTTACATTTCTGAGTTATAAGAAGTCAGAATTCTTGTGACTCATAATATGCTCATAGATACTTTTTAGACTTATAAGACAACTATGAATTCCTCTTGTTCATAATTATTTTTCTAGGCTAATAATAGAACTCTGAATTCCTCTTGTTCATAATTATTTTTCTCGGCTAACAATAGAACTCTGAATTCTTGTGTTTCAGAGTTAATGTTCAGAGTTTTCTTTTAGACCTGAGGAAAAGTCTCAACTCATTTTCCTCATTTAAAATACCCCATGTAATACACGGGTTTGAACATAGTATATATATCATTAATTAATATAATATAAATTCAAGCAAAACATTTAGGAAAGATCATTTAATATCATAACAACACTTTATTTAATGAAAACTGCAAAGTTAAGAGTTGACATATACTTCAAACAACTATTTAAAATATCTATTAAATATTAAAAAAAAAAGTTAAAGAAAAAGAAGATAAGATCAGACATCAACATCAATGACATCAAAATTTGGACGTTAGGTATAAAGATATTGGGTACAAAAGGTGTTGTTAAGTCATCAAATTTCAGCACGAGATGTATCTGTAGAAACTAGTCATTGATCTCAATTATGGCTACAAATTGGTTATTGTCTTATTGAGACGAAATTTTTTGACAGATCAAAAATGATTCCCCTTGTACGTAAATAACTTATGTATGTAGTCAAAGACCTTCCAGCCTAGTGGTAAAGGCTTGGGCATGACATAGTCATGAACCCGAGTTCGAGCCCTGGGAGGGGAGTGTTGGCGACATTTAAGTGGGGCCATGTTTAGCCTCCAAATTTGCCGGGGATTAGTCGGGCTTTGGCCCGGACACCCTTACAAAAAAAAAAAACTTATGTACCATGAAATATGAGGAACCACTCGTATATACATATACTCTTTTATATAATTAATAATATATCGAATAACTAAAAACAAAATATCATATTATGAATGTACTCATTCCTAACAACTCATAAAAGAATACGCGTGACAACTGCTCATAGTAAATCTACAAGCACATATGTCATATTTGAAATACCCAAATGTGTTCATTGTTTAGGAATCAAAAATCGACATTTACTGTAATCAGTCTGGTTTTTTTAGTTTTGTTAATATTAGATATTTGTCAGTGTTTCGAATTTATAGTTCTGATCCTTGTTAGATCGACCCCTTAGTTGGTTCGACAGTAACCAGTCTAACCGACCATTTTCAGTCTCTTGCTCGTCTTTTCTAACTAGGTTTCGCTTATTAGCCAATTACCGGTCTTTCTTTCCTACCTTTACTACACAATATATCAAGAAGGCTGGTTATATAGGCCTATTGAAAGAAAAAACCTTAAATTGATTTTGTAAGAAGAATACAAACTTCACTTTTTTATTTTTCTAGCAAATTTTATTTGCTTTCTTTTTACATTTTTAGTCCCTATCGTTTGTTAAAGTTGTTATTTGTGCCCTTGTATTTTCAATTTATTGTTGGTTTTTTTGAAGCTAACACTTATCTTTTAAGTATGAGTGACAAAAAATAACAACGATATGTAAATTACATAATTATCTTAAATGAATGGTTCACATCATATCTCACAAACTTCAATTGAATTAGGTCCATGATATAGAAAGACTAACAAATACAATTGAAGACTAAAGCAAAATCATGAAAAATTGTAAACAAAAGACGACATGACTTTCCACACGGCCAAAGTCGCCAGATAAGTCAAGTCATAGACTGGAGTTGAGAACAGGAGAAGCAGAGCCTCACGCGACCTTTCCCACGGCGCCACCCGCCAAACTTACTATTTGAATCTTGCGACCTTCCATGCGGCCAAAGTTGTGTGGCTAGTCGCCCACACCTAGAGGTGTTCGTACAATGGCAGCTTATGAAATTTTCCAGGCCAAGCGGTTCGGTGGTAAGTAGAGATGGCCAAATGGGCCCGGCCCGGCCCGTAACCGCCGGAGGACCGGAACCTGGACCGGAGAGGAACCGGAACCGGCCCGGGACCGGTTGTGGACCGCCGGTTATGAACCGGTTATGGATTTTAACGTTTTTTAGGACCGAGACCGGTTAAGACCGGAACCGGTTATGTAACCTGCTATAGGACCAGCCCGGCCCGGCACGGTCAACAAAAGTCAACGTGTATATATATATATATATATAACAAAACATATTTTTAAACGTATTTATAAAATTAAACATATACATATATAACAAAACATATTTTTAAATGTATTTATAATAAAACGTATTTATATAAAACATATTAAAAATAACATATTACAAACATATTAATAACATATTAAAAATAAATACGTTTAATTTTATAAATACGTTTAAAAATATGTTTAGATATATATATATGTATATAAATTTATTAATTACCAAAAATTTGAAAAAAAAATATTTTTTTTGCAAAGGACCGGCCGTAACCGGTTATGGGACCGGAACCGGGACCGGACGGCGTAACCGGTTATGGGCAAGCTTGACCGGTTATAGTGTTTTTCATCGGAACCGGGACCGGTTATAGACGGTTTTTGTCCCGATTAGGACCGGCCGTAATCGGTTAAGGCCCGGCCCGGGACCGATTTTTGGCCATCTCTAGTGGTAAGTGACCAAACCGGTCAAATTGGACCACCAAAAGACGGTCTGGTCTGACTGATTTATACGGTTTGGTTTCTTATGAGCTTTAAACTAAAAAAAACATAACATCTATATTCAAAATTAAATTTCTACCAATACAACATTATTTGAGAATAGGATACCGTATTATAAAAGATAAATCCATCTCTATAACTAAAAAATATTGATCAAGTTTAAAAAAATATTAAACAAATCCACTAACAATAGTTGGAAAATTTGGAGAAATATTGACCAAGTCAAATGACGATTTGGAATTTTAGACTTTATTTTTGACGGAATTCTAAATTTTGCCAATTTAGATCATGCTGTCAGTTAAGAATTGAAAAGCTAAAAATATGATGTCTTGAACGAACTTTTTTAATTGTACCATAAAGTTGAGGTTATAACATGAAAACTAAATATATGTTTATTTTTTAGCGGTCAGTTCTGTCCAAACTACTCATAAAAATGTTCAAACCGCAAACCAGACTGCCAGACCGCTCAAACCCCCCAAAAACAGTCTGGTTTAACTTGGTTTGATCAGTTTGAGTGGTCCAACGGTTTTTTTAAAAACCAGTACCCACACCCTCCAGCCGGATCCACCTTCCGATCCAAGTTGCTATCCTATTTGATTATCTCCCTTTATCTTTATATATTTATTACTTTATAGTTTGATTAGAATTACGTTTCGTTTTTATTTTCATAGTTATTTTTTATCTAGCTTAAACTATAAATAGGTTTATTCGTTTTCATTGTTGATCTGATTATCAGTTAATAAAAGTTCATCCTTTAGAAGAGTATTCTCTTGAGTTTTACTGTTCGTAATTCTTAATCGTTAAAAAGATTCAGACGTTTATCGATCATTCCGCACTGCCTGCCACTCCCTTATCTTTAACCATATATTCTTTTCTCAATGAGTAATCTACACTTTTCATCCTTCTAGTTTGTTGGAGATTGCTTTTTTAGTCCTTACATTTTGAAAATTACAGATTTCTTGATGTTTATATATAGAAGGAATATATTGCCATTTAACCTACACATAAAATTTTTGACCCAACCATAAGGTAATGCCTGATTGATTTGAGCTTAGCTTCAAAAGTCAAAAGTACTAAGAGGTCTCAGGTTCAAATCTAAAAAGGAATAAAAATCCCCTTATGACCATGGAGGTTTAAATACGATAACTCCGGACTATTTGCAAAGCAAGTGGTCGTCCTAAGATTAGTCGACTCGTATAACGGGTTGGATATCCAGGTTAACAAGAGAAAAAAAATTAACCCCTGCCCCCTACCGTACCCTCCCCTACCCTACCCTACCCTACCCTACCCTACCCTACCCTAGGCCCTGTATTGAAAGGTTTGTCCATTTGTTTAGGACCAGTATCCATCAATTCAAACAAACCTTACACTATTCTGCCTCACCCATGTGTAATAATATATAGAGAAAGAAAGGTCTCATTGGGAATTGTGACATATAATATTAACACCAATGGACCCCATTCACTGCACCTGCACCTGCACCCAACCCATGTTCATATAAACCTACCAAGTACTACAATCATAATTTCATTACCAGTACAACACAGACCTGCACATGATTTCTGAACATCAGTTTCCCCTCTCAGGGCCAATATAGACATTTCACTTTCCTTCACATATCATCATCATCTACCTTAACCTTCACCTTAATCATAATATTAATCACTGTTTTGAGATATAACCTCACCAAATTTCAGAAACAGTTGCGCATCTGAGGTGCTCATCGATGAGCAGTTCACCAAATGAGGTGTTTTCAGGTTTGCGTATTCGTCCATGTAGCTCGACACCTTCGAACATGGCACCAGCGTCGCTGGACCACCCGTCGGGTTTTGTTTAGGTGGCGGGAGTATGCTCCCCAGGACTCGCACCACCTCGTGCATCGTTGGCCGCTCCGATGGCTGTCGTTTGGTGCACAACAGAGCCAGCTGGAAAACCTTCTTTACTTCTCCCAGCTCCTTGCACGTCGCCGATATCTCTGGATCGACGGTTTCCATCACCGCGTTGCTTGCCGTCTTTGACAAAATCTGATACACCATCGATCGGGGTTTGAGATAGGGATACAAGCTAAAGCCGTCCTAATAGAGTACTCGATAGAACTTTTAAGTTGATAAGACCAAAAACTATTTGTTAATCTAAAAAGCGTTACAATAAGTTTATTGGACAATTCTCAAGAGCAGTCATATAAAATAGCTAATACGACATTTTATGTTTAAAAGATTCTGAAAAACTTGTTACAACGTCCAAAAACGTCCTATAAACTTATTGTAACACTTCTAGATAAGACACTTTATTCTTTGGTTCTATAAACTTAAGTACCGTAAAACACTCTGTTAGGATATGTAAGCACTATAGGTGTGTCCTATAAACCCAATTTTGTTGTAGTGATCACAGATGGAACTTATTAGGTCGCTTAACTTCATCGTAACGCCTTTAGAAACGATGCCAATTTTTGGTCCTATAAACTTGAAGTCCTATTAAGTTTGGAAAGAAAGACTGACCAGGTGATGGAGATTTGACTCATTGTCAACAGCTTTCCTTCCGGTAAGCAACTCAAGTAGAACAATCCCGTAGCTGTACACATCGGATTTCTCGGTAAGACGGGAAGTACGAGCGTATTCGGGATCAATATATCCGATCGTACCCATTATATAAGTCGACGTGAACGTTTTTGACGTGCATAAGCTCTTGGCGATCCCAAAATCCGTAAGATGTGCTTCAAAATCCTTGTCAAGTAGAATATTGGACGATTTCACGTCTCTATGTATTATACGAGGACTACAGTCGTGGTGAAGATATGCAAGCCCTTGGGCCGCTCCTAGGGCGATCTGAATTCTTGTGTCCCAATCGAGCTTTTTCTTCTTCAACGGGCCTAAAAACCACAAAACTTTCATAATATACAAACAAAACACTCCGAAAATAACTGAAGGGGTCGTTTACTAAATAATTGGGTCAATGCTGACCCGGTACAGCCTGTTACCCGGTAAACAGTGTTTACCGGGTACCAGGCTGTATGCATTTAATAAATGACCTCTAAATTTTTTTTAAAAAAGGAAAAAAACTACTGACCATGAAGGAGATCCCAGAGGCTGCCATTTTCCATATAGTCATAAAACAACAGGTTCCCTGAAGGTGATAAAGAGTAACCTTGAAGACTAACAAGATTTCTATGCTTGATGCTGCCAACGGTTTCGAGCTCGGTCTCGAACTCTTTCAGGTATTGAGGATAATGAGTACATAATTTCTTGATGGCCACGGGCCGGCAGTTTTTGAGAACACACTTGTAGACGGTACTCGATGCTCCATATCCGATTTTATATTTCTCGCTCAAGTTCTCGGTCATTCTCATAATATCGTCGTACACATGAAGCGCCATGTTCATGTGAAGTATCACAAGTTTCGGTGATGAGTAATGAACTGTGTATAGAAAACGGATTCGAAGTTAATCTAGTTTCGCCGTCCCAAAATAAACGTTTTCCAGGCGTTTTTTATGGTCTTTTAGTATAACGAGAAGCTACCTGGTTTATCATACGACCCCTCGATGAAAGGTTTTGAATTATGGGGTCGGCATACGGCCACGAAGATCATAAGAAGAAGAACCAAAGCACCGAGAGCGATTCCGAGTATCGCTGCTTTAGAAATGGCCACTACAACGAAACAACTTCCTATTTTTAGCATTTCTATACATTTCTGAATCGATTGGAAGTTTTAGAAACAAAATGTTAACAGCCCGATTGTAATTACGCCTTACCCCTTTCGGTGGAACGAGAAGCATGACATGAAGAACTTAACGAACTGCTGCAAAGACCAGGATTCGCAAGAAAGCTGCATTGAGAACGTGAACTTCCGTAACTATATTTATATCGTTAAACGTCACACTTGTAGATTTGCCTATTACATACCTATCGGGTGAAAATTTTGAAAAATTATTGCCGGTAGGAATATCGCCAGCCAGGTTATTATACGACACGTTTCTGCATATAATGGAGCGTAATAAGTCTCACAACCCCATGAACGGAAAATCACCTTATACAAAGATCGCGGAAAGTTCATTTAGGACCCATAAATATTTGAGAACCGTGATAACAAACTATTCATGATGAATGTATCTAAATGTTAATGAAAATATCATGCATTTTCCTTATTCACGACATTCATAATGAATAATTCATCAGTATTGATTCTCAAAATATTTACAGTTCTCAAATGAACATGTTCCTTCAAAGATGTGCCGATATTGTGACGGGAACTTACAGAACCGAAAGTGTAAGGCAATTCACCAACGATATCAACCCTCCCGTTAAATTGTTACTCTCTAACTTTCTGCGAAGCATTATTAGAAGAGACAAATATCATCGTCGTGACCAACTCTAGCCGAATAATCTACAACCGAGCCACAATTTTTGGAAGAAAGGATGGCCAAATGGATATTGATGCCATTTGGCCACAACTTTTTGTACCGAAAATGTGGTTCACGGGATAATTTAAACAATCGGTCCAGTGAGAACATACAGCATGAACAAATTCTGAAGCTGACCGAGCTCCTGGGGTAATACACCGGAGAGATGATTGTAAGAAAGATCTCTGCAAGAAACACATGTTTTACGTTATTAAAGAACCCGGAGGGTACATGAAAAAGAACACACGATCGCTTACATCTCCATGACGCTTCTTAAGTTGCCAAACTCGGCTGGTATATATCCTGTCAACCCGTTCCGGCTCAGATTCCTGTTGTATCAACGAAAGAAAAACGTTCACAAGAGATAACGAAAGCCAAAAGTGTGAGAATATGTTCAACCCCATTAGATTACTCTCTAAAAGAGCCTTGACGAGATAGAACATATATGAGAATAAGTGTTCGAAGTCTAGCCGATTTGGGACTCTAACAGAGTGTCGAGTCCCTAGATCATAGAGGATAAATGGTCGAAGTCTAGCTAACGTGAGAATATGCCAACTTACATTTTTAAAAGATGTTCCAAATCACCAAGTGGCGAAGGGATCGGACCACTGATCCTATTGTTCGAGAGGTCCCTGTGCCAATAGAACATACCGCTAATCATTATAAACCAAAAACGAATCAATTTGTTCTTCAACAGTTTTGAAGTACTTACAACGTATCGAGGTTACCAATCCGAGACAGCTCGATTGGAATAGGACCCGTGAGGTTATTTGACGAAAGATTCCTGATCGAATCAAGAAAAAGATCGTAAGCCAGAGAAAAAAACAGATCAATTGCATAAGCGAAAATACTTCATTTAAAGAGCCTTCGGCTGTTCGTTTCAAATAGTATAACTTGATAATCAACATAAAATCTCGCTCGATCTTGGGCTTTAATCAAGAACGGTGGAACTTACAAGTATGTCATGCTTTCGAGCCTCTGGAATTGAGCAGGAATGGTGCCCTTCAACTGGTTCCCATGCACGTTGCTGCGAAATCAAAAAGACTACTTGTCGACCGTCTAAAATTTACCGGAAAATCACATAGCAATCATCGAAACTTACAGGCTGTTAAGATTAGTGCAAGAGCTAAGATTATCGGGTATGTATCCCTCGAGTCTATTTCCCGCAACGTTACTGCAATCACATAGCATATATAGGTTACCTGGCAAAGAACAATCCGAACCATAAAAAGAACCGAGCGGAGTTGCAAAGTTTACAGGTCAAATAAGTCGGTGAGCCTTCCAAGTTCCGGTGGAATATGGCCGGTGAGCTGATTATCGTTCAGTTCCCTGTTATAACAGAAAACATCCAAAATGCACATCTTAATACAACATCAAGATATGTGGAAGTGGAACCCCGTTAAATTTACTCTAAGCAGATATGGGACTCGAACAAAAATCGGAAGATGCAAAAAAACATCAAAGAGAAGCGTTTCGTACAAGTAATGGAGCTTCGACATATTCCCGAGCTCTGGAGGAATCGATCCCGTCAACTTGTTGTTGTGGAGATATCTACATCAAACGTGTAAAGCCGTAGCACAATTTTGAGAAATTAATAAACAAGATATTTGTATTATATCACAATGATACAGAACGAAAAACGATCTTACAATTTCTCCGTATACGTCAAATTTCCGAGGATCGGAGGAATTTGTCCACTCAAATTATTGCAACTCAAGTCCCTGCGATACGACTCTCATAAGAGATGTGACGAACGCATAAATCTTGGTTTTTGAATACGGAAAAGTAGTATGAGGTCGCTTACAAAACCGCAAGTGCCTGCATGAGTCCAATTACAGACGGTATTTTCCCCGATAGCTCGTTTCCTTGGAGTGATCTAACATACACCCAAATAAACCAAACCAAACCAAACCAAACGAATCCAGTAAATCCCACACAGATCAGAGTGGTTGATCAAAAAGTAGTCGAAGAAAGACTCACAATGTAGCAACTTGTAGGAATCCAATGTTGAACGGTATCTCTCCGGTTAATTGGTTGTACGAAAGGTCCCTAACGACAAAGCAACGATTAATCAAAACAACCCATGCTCGATATTGAAAGTAACCCCAAAAAACAGTTGTTTCCATAAATGTAGTTTCTCAAGTCAAGGTACTTACAAGACCTGGAAGCCGGTGCAGTTGCCGATATCCGAAGGAATTGTGCCACTTAAACTATTGTTCCGCACATCGCTGTATAGATGACCCCCACGTAAGCAAAAACGATCATGTAATCAAAAACCAAACCAAATAAACCCAGCATATGATCCGGGGCCGGTAAGATGTACACAGGACATGACTTCTACTACAAAGATGTATGAAATAACAGGACTTACAAATACCACAGGCCCTTCAGCTGACAGATATCGGGAGAGAGCTCGCCGACTAGATTGTTGCTTCTCAACCCTCTGCGTTACACGACCGTATGTTTCGATCAAATTGCATAAATGGTATTCGAAAGAATCGAGTTTTAGAAACTTACAGATACTGCAAAACCTCATTCCAGTATATAAGCCGGGGTATCTCACCGCTCAGCCGATTTTGTGCCAAGTCCCTAGAATAGACATTATGGATATAAACAGATCGAATTTTAACCGAAATGATGATCAAGATGATATGCAAATACTTACAAGATCTTCAAATTCGGAACCTGCGACAATGTCGAAGGGATCGGACCGATCAATTGATTGTTTTTCAAGATTCTGTAAGTAATAACACCAATGAGAATGGTGTCATCAACTGAACCCAAAACTTACAAACAGAACCAAACACTCGCCTACAAAACTTACAAGATCTCGAGCTGCTTTAACTTCGATATCGAAAACGGTATGTCTCCGGTTAACATATTGAACGATAAATCCCTGATTCGATTACAATTTAAACTACATTATAAACAGAAACCCTAGAATTCATAAGAACTAAGCTGAACTACAAGTTCTTACAAGTTCTTAAGGGTACTACAATCACCAATCTCATCTGGGATTTGACCAGATAATCGATTTCCACGAAGATCACTGTTGGATAATGATTCAAAAACAGATTAAAAACTAAATTTTTAAGCAAAAAAGATGAACCCCATTTGAAAATTGGATCAAGAAAGGGAAGAAACAGTACATGGAGAGTAAACCTTTGAGCTCTCCAATACTTGGTGAGAGTTCACCATCAAGATTCAAACCTGAAAGATTACTGAATGGTTTGCAAAAAGTCAACATTTTGACTCATAAATATCCCAAAAGGGCATATAATAATCTTTTCTTTAATCTTGAAAAAAAAGGAAAGGAAATTAATTGATGGAAAAATACTCACAGAGCAACCACATTGAAGGTGACATTGTCACAGGAAACACCTCTCCACATACAGTAGTCTGAAGAAGGTGAATCAGTCCAGTCATACAGCACATTGTTGACATCTCTAAATGACTTCTTGACCTCCAACAATATCCCTCCTTCATCATCATAAAAAATATATATATTTAATTGATTAATTAAACTAATATAAACAGTCAAACTCATGTCATTATTTGAATATTATACAAGTCAAAGGGAATATTATAATGGAAAGAAATGGGGTTTCTGAAATCTTGAAAGTCTTTGTTAAAATGGTTTGAATCAAGAAACATGATTAGAAAAGAAAAGAAAAGAAAAGAAACCCTTTTTTTGTTGCCAAATCAGGAGTAATGATTCGTCAATGACTTGTACATTATGAAGTGGAAGTTGTACACACCATCGTCAGAGTAAACAAAGGAGAAGAAGCTTGAAGAAACCAGAAGAAACAAGAGGAAACCCATCATTCTAAAAGCTTGAATCTTTCTTCTCAAAGACTCCATTAAAGTTAAACCCATGATGATGATGATGATCAACAACAACAACCCTCCTCCTCCGCCGCCCGCCCCAAATCTCCGGCGAACTGAATCAACAACATTCAGCAAGTGGATTCTTGATGAAGGAAGGGAACAATTGGTTGCTGGTCACATCATTTGTAGCAGAGTGTGTTTTCTTCTCCTCGATTACAGTGTAATCATATTGTATCTATGGAGGATTATGGAGAAGATAAAGTCAAGAAACCTTACACACAGGTGATAGATATAGTACAAGAATAGTAGTGCCAAGGCTATGGCTGAGCTGAGCTGCAACTGTGTTATAAAACCCTGCACAATTTTACAGCTATTGTTTTCCCCTTCTCTTGTTTACCTTTTACTCTCTCTCTCCATTTCTCTCTCTGCTGACAGCTTTTTTAGGATAAGAGAGAGAGAGATGAAAAGAGACCCATTTCTGCCATTAATTTTGGTTTTTTTTAAATCAAGATTCAAACTATTATCATTTTGAGAATAAAGATTATTTCTAGTTCTTCACCCTACAAGTGGGTCAATCTGTAAATCTTTTTGTAAAATTTGAAATAGAAAATAAACATTTCGTTGAAGAGAAAAAAGATTTTGCCTTTTATATATACAAGGGGAGAAAGAAGAGGTGGGGTTATATACAATTCAGTCTTATCATTAGTCGCTATCAGCTTTGGTTTTTCTGAGATGTTTGCAGAAGGAGAGAGGGATGTGCCTCTGCCTTTTGCAGACTCATCACTCACTTGTGGGTTGGGCTAACCTTCATCGTCCTGTTCAAGGAAAGCATTCAAGTAGTCGATTTGTACTGTCGACAAAACCTGATAGGACGCCGAAAGGCGGACATAAGCATAGAGGGTCAGGGTCAGGGTCAGGGTCAGGGTTAGGGCTAGGGCTAGGGCTATGGGATGTTGGGATTGAGGGTAAATTGGGTTTTGATAATGACCCGGCTTCTGGATGTGAGTAAATGAGTGATAAAGGAGTAGCAGTGGCAGCAAAGAGGAACAGTGAATACTTTATTCGGAGGGAGATGGAGCAAGAAACACCCTTTTAACCTACAGCCATCTTATAGCTTCCATCTATCTTTCTATGGTTTTTGATTTATTTATGGGTTCATGTCGGATATAACCCTCTATTTTTGGTTTAATAAATAGATTCATTTGAAACTAATGAGTTGATGTTTGGTTATAATTGTTGTTTTGATTCAATAACTTTGGCGAATTATTCCTTTTTTGTAAACCATAAGCGATTTTGGCGTTTGTGTGTAACTCGACTAATCTTAGAGGTCATCGAAACAGTAAAATCCGCAGTGGTCTAATAGGACTCGAATAGGATAATCTCTAAGGAGAATCCCCAAAGGCTCGAGACTTAGGGTAGTTTGGCAATTGCTGAATGGTTTGGTGCAGAATTATAAAGTTGTCAGAATGATTAAGATGCTCTCATGATATGATGCAAAATGAAATATAATTGTTTGATAATTGTGTATAATGAAATTATGGCTCTTAATGGTTAAGAGAGATCCATGATACAAAATCATTTAGAGGGTTTTAGAACCATTAAGAGACATATTTTTTTTTGCCAAACAAGATTCACTTCTTAATGATTCAGAAGTTGTCTCTTAATATAACTATTAAGAGGTAAACAAACAACCCCTTACTAGTTCTAATAAGCTATTTGTTGGTTAATAAGTTAGCTGTGGAAGTTAAAATAAGAATGCTAAATATTGTAAAAAGCTATAACGTCAGTTTATATATATATTTTCAAATAATTTTTTTCGGATTTTTTCAAAATGTACACATATGCATCTTTCTTTAACATTACCTTCTCAAGAGATTTAATCTTTTTATTTGGTAAAAACTAGTTATAAGTTAGATGACAATGTAAATTGACCTAAAAATCATGTTGAAAAATCAATTCAAAAACGCCGTGAGCTTATTGGAATGCTACTTAGGTTATGTCTAATGATACGATGTTTTCTAATAAGTTTGAAAAAATAAGTAACTATATGGTTACCAAACATGGTCTTAAGTTAATGGGAGGTTTGGAACACTAGGGGTTGTATGTTAGCAGTTTAACGAGTTTAATAGGACTCCCAACTTATTCAGTCAGCTATACATGACCATTTGGTAGTGACTTAATGATATAGCAAGTGGCTTATTTAATGAAAAAGAAAACACTCCTTCCATCTAATCATCTATGACAAAACTCTCCGAAACAAAAAAAAAAAAAAATTCAATTATACAAACAGATTAATCCACACAGGTAGCTTTATCCATACAATATTTGATGAAAAATCAACCAAACAACCCTTAAGTTTGATGTTGTTCCGAATATTAAAAATATGTATCAATTTAACACTTTAAAAAATATGTTTATATTTTTTAACTTTCTCCGACTGACCCTACATCCAAAGTATTGCGTTTATTTTTGTCGATGGTCTTGATCAAAATCCAATAGGATGCTTGATAAGTGTGCAAAAACATACACTTTAACACATAGTTATAATTTTATTTCACTTTATTTTACATCTTTCTCAATCATCTATTGAGTCTTTTAGTCTTATTTTATGGTTTCACATTTATTGGAGCTAGGATGCGGAAATGGTACTATTTTATTTATTTGGTGAATAAAATGCTGACATAAGCATTGTTGTAACAAGTGTATACGTTGCTACAACACTGGACACTGGATATTGACACAGCTGGTCCAATCCCGTTGAATATTTTGAAAAGTCAAATTTTGGAGGAGGGCATCTTCTAGTATTGATAGCAGACGATTTTGATAGAAAATATGTTACTGAAAGATACATTAAACTTTTGTACTAGAGCATCTTTTGTATTACCCATTGGTTAATAACCAATGATTATTAATCTCTACTACTTTTGATTCCCCTTAGCTAGTATATATATGAGGGTAATCTTTTGTTTAGTAGTAACACTTTAAACAATAACACTTTGCCATCAAGAACAAACTTTCATCTAAGGTTTGGGTCCTTGTTACTTTTTAATATCATTTTGCAAGTACTTTTGAGTGTTTTTCGTCACTGTCAGTTGCTACAGTAACCTTTCCAGCTTTCTCTTTACTTTTCGTGCAGAATTTACTTTTACGTCATTTAAATTCAGTCATTTTCATTTATGTCATTTATTTTTAAGCACTTACATTCATTCATGTTACGCTAAATACCTTTGTATGGGTATAAGTGAAGGTTGTGAGATTAAACAAAGTGTTAGTCGATAATTGTTTGTTAATAGCAATTTATTTCACTATTAACAAGTGATATCAATATTTCATCTGGTAATCTTTGACAAATTGACACATGTCATTTTATTCAGATGAGTTGGACTTAAAATTAATACAATGCAAATACTTTTACTAAGTGAGTTATATAGGCTATAAAGAGTCGCATTAATCTTATGGGTTGCAAAAGTATATGGAAAGAAAAGCAAGATTTGTATTAGTTTGGGATTGATGCATCACCAAGTGCACTTCCAACATATGGTCTAATCTGCACTTCTTTGGAAGGTCGTTTAATCCAGTAGTGTTGTAAAGAGCTATTTTTGTAGCAATATTCACTGCACTTCGTTGCTGAAATTCAAGCCAATCTTGCATCCATACTATCTTTTAATTATTATTACATTTCAGTATTTGGTTACCAACTGCGCAAAAATATTTTCTCTTTGAAGCTTTATTGCTTCCAAAAACCCCTTTTCTGAAATCTCACTTTAAAGTTAACTTTCGTAACTCTCTTTGCATTCTAAATCTCTGTCGAATGATATTTGATATTACTTATCATTATTACTTGCTTTGGATGACACCTGTAAGCGATGCATACTTGCATGATTTACTTGTTATTATAGCTTTTTGAGGGTATAGATCCATCCACACCAAGTTTTTGGCACCGTCGCCGAGGATTTTTAGCCTAAAAGAGTTTTCTTTAAGTTACTTTAAAATTTGATTTTTCTACCATCAAGTTTTTATTTTTAGTGTTTTATGCCAAGGATACCTCATAGGACTACTTTGAGTTAGATCCGAACATTGAAGGAAACTTTAGAAGGAGAAGAAGGGTACAAAGAAATTTGTTGCCTATTCTAGCTACTCTTGAAATGGCACAAGTCGGACCTGATTCAATACTCAATCCTGAGGAGGAGGTTATTAGGCTTTGCAAATTTAAGGACTGGTGACATTATGGACTATACTATTCCAATGTTAAATGAATTACATCATGGAATACGTAGGCCCGTTATTGATGGTGACCACTATGAATTTAAGACCATCATGATTCACATGTTACAAACAAATGATCAATATGGTAGATTGTCATATGAGGATCCTCATTTGCATCTTAGATCTTTTATGGAAGTCACCGACTCTTTCCATCTTAATGGAATTTTTGATGAAACCTTAAGGCTGAAGTTATTTCCTTTTTCGTTAAGAGATAGAGCCAAAGTATGGTACAACTATTTGCAACTAAACTCAGTCACCACATGGAATGAGATGATTGAGAAGTTTTTTAAAAAATATTTTCCCCCAACTAGGAGTGCCAAGTTCAGAAATGAAATTTTTCTCTTTAGACAAATGGATGATGAAGCAGTTCATACTATCTTTTAATTATTATTTCATTTCAGTATTTGGTTACCAATTCTCGCAAAGATATTTTCTATCTGAAGCTTTATTGCTTCCAAAAATCTTTTATTTTAAATCTCACTTTAAAGTTAACTTTTGTGATTCTCTTTGCAAATTTACATATATGTGGAATGATATTTGGTATTGGTTACCATTATTACTTGCTTTGGACGACACTTGTAAGTCGTGTATACGTGCATGATTTACTTGTTATTATAGTCTTTTGAGGGTATGGATCCATCCACACCGTAGGTCTATCAATGAGATGTTACATGTAGGCCCTTAGGTTTGTAGGAGAGAGAGAGAGAGAAGATATGATAGAGATGAGAAAAAAATAAAGATGGGAGTGAAAGATTAAGGTTCTGTTTGGTTTGTAAGATTGAATTTGATTTGGAGAGAATTGAAATTGATTTCTTTTAAAATCTCATGTTTGATTTGAATGATTTCCTAGATTGAAAATCCTCTTGTGCACGAAGGTTCAAATACGGTGATTCCAGGCTATCTGCAAAGCAGATGATCGCTCTGGGATTAGTCGGCTCGCATAACGGGCTAGATATCCAAGTTAATGAAAAAAAAACAAATTTAAAAAGAAAATATTTTGAAATAATTCCTTGGATGCACTTTAGGATGATAAATGTTTCATTACACTGTTTTTTTTTGTTACCACTGTGAAATTTGATTTTCTATTAAGAAGCATAGTCTAATTGTTATCATACTACCAAAATTATATTCAACTTCATTTTTCTTCAA